CTTACATTTAGTTATTGTAAATATAAATCACAAAATGCTTAATTTTATAAACTAATTTTTTTAAATCATTTAATTATTTAGGCATCAACATACCAGAAGAAGAAAGAAATCAAGTCATCGATCAATTAGCAAAATATTCTTGCGTTCCCGTTTATGTTGATGATGATTTGGCTGATCGACATTATAATGGTTTTTCCAACTCTATATTGTGGCCATTGTTTCACTATCATCCTGGCGAAATCACGTTTTCCCAACAAGATTGGGAAGCATATGAAATTGTTAATGGTCTTTTCGCAGAAGCCGTTAATGAGATTGTTCAAGATGGTGACTTGGTGTGGGTTCAAGATTATCATTTGATGCTATTACCAGCCATGTTGAGAGAAAAAATGGGTGAAAGCAAATTAAATGTAAAAATCGGCTTTTTTTTACATACTCCGTTTCCAAGTAGCGAGATTTATCGGTAAAGTTGTGATTTTTTCTTATCAATTATAATAAATTTAAAAAATTATAATAAATTATAATATAATCCATCAAAATCTAATAATTAAATAATTTTGATTTATTAAAATAGAATTCTTCCCGTTCGCAAAGAAGTTCTCACTGGCGTACTTAATTCCGATCTGATTGGATTTCATACATACGATTATGCTCGTCATTTCCTATCTTCATGCACTCGTATACTAGGCTTGTCGACAATGCCAAATAGTGTATACTATGACGGTAGGCATGTACATGTTGGTACATTTCCTATCGGCATTGATCCTGAAAAATTTGCCGAGGTATGCTTAATTTTATTTTATTTAAATTTCGCTTGATTACGTTTCCTACTTCTAACTAATTCTGTTCATTTAATAGGGTTTAAAAAATCCAGTTATTCAAAATCGCATCAAAACTCTGGAAGATAAGTTTAAAGGTGTTAAATTGATTGTTGGTGTGGATCGACTAGATTATATTAAAGGTGTTCCGCAAAAGTTTCACGCTTTGGAAGTATTCTTAAGTGATCATCCGGAATGGGTTGGCAAGGTTGTGCTTGTTCAAGTAGCCGTACCCTCTCGACAGGATGTTGAAGAATATCAAAACTTGCGAGCTGTTGTTAACGAGTTAGTCGGTAGAATTAACGGCAAATTTGGTACTGTAGAATTTACGCCAATTCACTTCTTGCACAAATCTGTTTCTTTTGAAGAATTAGTAGCATTATATGCTGTGTCAGATGTATGCTTGATTTCATCAACAAGAGATGGTATGAATCTCGTGTCTTATGAATACGTTTCGTGTCAACAGGACAGACATGGTGTATTAATTCTTAGTGAGTTTGCTGGTGCCGCTCAGTCTATGAATGGTAAGTATCATTCCATTATTGTTCTCGTTTTGACGCGGTATTTTACTTAATAATAAATGTTATATATATATATATATATATATTCATTTAAAGGTTCAATCATTGTAAATCCTTGGAACACTGAGGAACTTGCTAATGCTATTCACGAAGCTGTCACAATGCCGGATCAACTACGTCAATCAAATCATCAAAAATTATATGGTTATGTCACCAAATTTACTGCTTCTAGCTGGGGAACTAGTTTCGTTGGTGAATTAGTGGTAATTAAATATCTTGGATATAATTATATATCGCGTTTTGTTTTTTTGACTCACTCAAAATTATTTAAACTTATTGTAGCGTGTTAGTAAGGAGTTCGGTTCATACATGATAATTCCACATTTGAAGATCGATAAGGTTGTGGAAGCTGCAAAGGCTGCCAAAA